AAAGATTTGAAAAATATTTTTATATTTTTTATATTTTTATGTTAGTTACTAACACTAATTAATGGAACTAATTAATGTACTTATTGTAAAGTGTTACCATTTTAGTTTATTTAGCGTTTTAGCGATTGTAGTACTTCACGTTAAACTAAATGAAAATTAGAAATGTTGTCTTGGTAACTAGCTGAAATATTATATATTTATTTACATGTTAAAAATAAATTATATATATATATATATATATTTTTTTTTTTTAGTTTTATAAGATTTTTAAAAAATATTTTTATAACTTTTATATTTATTTATTTTTTAGTTAATGTCTGCTTCAAATTAAAAAATATATATTTTATTATTTAAAAAAAAAAAATATATATATATATTTTTTTAATTATGGTTTTAGTTTTAGTTAATAATAATAACACTCGGTCGAGATTAGATGCATTTTACTGAGGTTAGTGCTGGTTTGCGTTTTGAAAACTCCAACGTGCGACACAAGAAATGATCTTATTAATCACAAAACAGACTAACAAGTCCAAATGCGAGCCTAATGTGTTTACATGCGAATCTGCTCTCATCTCACCGATGAAATGCATAACCTGCCCATATTTGGTTCTCAAAACACTGCAAAGTAAGTGAAAACGAACAGCGGTAAGCGTTAAAGAGAATGACCTCCGACTGACTCTAAACCAACGCTTGTCAAAGCGACAGTATTTCTCTCTTTGGGTCGCTGACCCTCACCTGTAAATACTCTCCACATCGTCTTCTAAACTTTGAACGAATGACTAAACAACCTCGTTCCTGCCGCTAAACACATTTTTCAGGCGGGTCAAAGTTTTAAGTGAGAATCAGTTAGAGAAATGGCCTGACAGAAGCTTTTAATTGAAATTCTCCATCCTTGAACGTATTTTTGTTAGCTTGGGGAATTACTTTTATTGCTGCTGAAAGATCATTAACCTTAAGCGTATTCTAGCTGAAATGCACGATATAAATACCATGGTAAACAAGTATGGTAAATGTTACAACTAAACATTTGAGAAAACAGATTTATCTCCGTTTCCGCAGAAATACAGACAGATGGTTGAAAATGAATATCACGTTTCTCTGGATGAGAGAGAATAGAGTTGCAGTATTTCTTTTGAAACCCCAGCATCCTGAATATTAGTCACATGAGGAATGTCCCTGTAAAGTCTAGCGAGGTTTTAATCTGTTTTTATTTGTTACTGATATCTGTTCGTCGTCTGCACATGAATTCTCTGATTTCCAGGAACCTCTTGGCAGTCGTGGGACTTTGCACAATCTATTTTAACTTCAGTTCTATTGGTGTCCTTCAAAAGAAATAGTCACACACAGACAGTTGTGTGCGCAGCACAACCTAATTTAGCAAAAATGATTTCAGCAAGCTTGAAGCACATTTACAGTAATGCACTTACAGTGGAAGTCTATGGGCAAGACATTCAGCAGGGTTTAAAGCAGAACTGTGCTGTTTGTTAAATCTTGAAAATGAGCTATAAAGTGTCTAATTAATTTTTTTCCCACATCAGTCTAAATAACAACAATAATATAACTACTACTATTAATAATAATGTTACACAATAAATACATATTTAATAAAATATGTATATATTGTATAGTATGTATGTACACACACACATTATTATTATATTATTATTAATTATTATTAAAATAAAGCTGTAAAATCTCTAATTGGGCTACTTTTCAAGGTGATTTATCCACATCAGACTAAATACTAGTGTTACAATATATGAGTAAAATATTATTATTATTATTTATAATTTTGAAGATGTGTTAATGTGTAAGTCTTATGCTTTTACTTTCTAAACAGTGTTTCTCTGACTTCCACTGTAAGTGCATTACTGTAAATGCAATTTTCGTTTGTTTTTACAAAGTGGAAATGATTTTCTGTGTTAATGGACCGGATGTCACAGACGCCGGATCTCGTACTGATCCTGGAAAGTACATTCATCCGGGTGATTCTTCTCTACAGAGTTCTGCCACTCCTGCAGGAAAAGTCCTCCGTGCTCCGGTCCGGCGAAAGGGAGTAATTAAAAACTGGGAATGGATGGCAGGCTAATTGTCAAATTATGATAATTACAGGTCTTTGTTATGCTACAGCTGTCTGGGAGAGAAGCTGAGGTCAAAACGGCCTGCGCTCTGTAATCAGAGGAGGATCGGCCAACTTTAGAACATTTATTACACACTGATTATAAACCCCGAGGAGCTCGCGACGCTTTCTGTCTTTGACTCTGAACTGCTCGTGTTTGGGACTGAGGTGGCTTTCCATACGGCCTCCTGATCGGTCTATTTCTGTGACAATTACACAGCGATGAAGAGCTGTCTGACGGCACAATGATTACGCTGCTCGACCGCCCGACAGAGAGAGAGAGAAACGATTCACTGTGATAAGACCTGCAGGTGTGATTGCCCACCGCGCTTCACAGCTTTCTGAGAAAACACACACACACACACACACACACACACACACACACACACACACACACACACACACACACACACA